TTTATGGATAAGAAAGATGGAAGGAACGAGCTACAACACTTCAAAAAATGTTTTTGGCTGCAGTTATCCAAAGTTTAAAGTATTTTTAATAAAGCTATTATTTTTACTAGTGGAAGGAAGAGACAGAGAGAGAAGAGGAGGAAAAAAAAAAAACACTTTTTGCTCGTAGGATCGAATCATTGGCCGTCTCGGATTTCTTTTCTTTTATTCTCAAGTAGAAAGTTTTTGTTGAAAAGATGACATCCACTATCCGCGAACCGAACACGTGATATCATTTTTCACTCGAAGATGATAGCAGATAGAAGCGCATGCTCTAGCAGATGGCCAAGACAGACGTCCAGAAAACACTCGATTTCGGCTGGCAAAACGCTTTTTAATTCACTTATAAAAATATCCGGCATGCCGGATAATTGAAATGTTAATAAGAAATGGGAATTATGTCTCGGATCTTTAATCACGCATCATTTAATAACCATGAAGTTTGACATTTGGAATTTTTTTTTCCCTCTGTTTGCCCGATTGGGACGCATTGCATAGTGAAAAACTTTGCTTATTTTCCCTCCCATTTCACTGAGTTATTAGAAACGAAGTGGGACCAATGAGAGACGTCAGTGTTTTCACGCTTCTCTTAATATCTAGCCAGGCACCAGGTTAAACAGATGGCATTGCCATCGGGAACTTTCTGATAAGGAAGCCATTAATCGCTGGCTTCCGACTGTCCGATTGGCCAGAAATAAAGGTTATTAATCAAAGACTGAATCACAATTCCTTTTTACAGACCGTCCTTGGCCATTCCCACAAGTATGAATGGGTTCGTTAGAGTCACTCCCTTTATATCCTGTAAAAAAAAATGGGAGGAGGAGGAAGAGGAGGAGGAGGAGTGTAGCCAAGAAACCTTATACAACACTGGATCGATTTTGATATAGAAGATGTTTTATAACTTAAAAAACTTCAGTTTAAAGTATAGCCTTTGTCGTTAACTTGTTCTTGTCTCAAGATGACTTTTTAAAGCTTTCTGCACAGTTGAAGGCACCGATACACTTGCTTCCAACTCCTTCGAGTGCAAAGTTCGTCATTACTCAAGTTTTATAACTGCGGTCGACAGCGTTTATGGAATATCACAGTTCGTCTATACCACTGTAAATTTAAACCCGAAAATCCTCAAGTTTTCCTTCCGAAAATTTAAGTTACTTCGCGGCAGATGTCGTCGTGAATTATAAAATTTATATATATATTAAAATTTGGGCTTAATTTACAAAATTGTTTCCATGATAAACTACTTTTCTAACGTAAGAAATAAAATTAGATAACGGTTTGAATAGAAAATATCGACCCATGTATGCGGGCAATGCATCTTAGAAACATCAAACAGCATCTTTTATCTTCCAACAACCATCTATATCAATCCAGGAGTAGAGAATCGCATTTACAGTTTTCTGCGTGTGAATCTGACAAAACACAAGCCACTATTACAGATTTCAGGGATTGAGAGGCCCAAGCTGAGAAATGGCACTCTGTTCATTCTTTGTCATATAACTTATACACAAACAATATATATCGAAGCATAACACATTTTAAAACTCGCTTTGACATAAATAAATTGTTTCATAGAAGTAATTTTCCATCATCTTTACATCCGACTACTTCAAGCATGAATATAGATTTTTTTTTCCTTCCTTCTAGATTTATTCTATACTTTAAGTCTGTGTAATTTATTAGGATAAAATATAAATAAAAAACTTATACTTATGATATTAATAACGAATTATCGGCTAATCTTAAGAGATAAAAGTTTTATTATACTTTATTTATGCCTCTGTTAATGGGGACATAAATATAAAACGACTTCCAAATTTTCATCAAGTTAATGCTTTAAGCTGATTTAATCGCTGATTTTTTAAGCTGAAGAAGTTTATATTTTAAATTTATTTATAAATTTATAAACTTTTTGTTGTAAATAATTAGTTTTTTCTAGAAATTTATACGAATCTCTGTAATTGTTAGCATCATTGAGCTTACAGATAACGTAACAAAGATAACTTAGAATTTAATTTTCTCTTTAAGAAATAAATATATTCTTTGAATAATATGAATATTTAAATGTTAATTTAAAGTTATTCATTTATCAATTTCTTTACAATCATTTTAAAATGTGTTTTTAAAGGAAGCTAACGTCAAGTTCATGTTAGACAGAAAGGAGGACACGAGATGGAGAGAGAGAGGAGAAAAAAAAGGATGACGAATGAGAGTTTACTAGAAAATGCTTTACTTGACAAAGGAAACTATTTGACAAAGTTAAAATTTTTTGGAACAATTTTGAAATCCCGATAATCCCAATGCGCATCTCAGTTACAGAAAGAGGCTTTTGTTTTCAAGATTCTTTCTCGCATCTCCTCCATCTAATATATCTCTTTTGAGTTAGACGAGGGAAATTACATACGGAATAAATATTGATGGAGAATCGAAAAGATCTTGAGCTATCCCCTAGAAGAGAAAATATTTCTTCCCCTCAGATGGGGACTTATCATATTATCGATGGACTAACGAAAATGGGGAGGAAGCTGTATCAACCTTCTACAATACTTGGCACTATCAGTCAAAGAGAAAAGATGCTGGATTATTTGCTGACTCGCTTGTGGATTTACCACATATCTTCCAATTAAACCAATTCTTTGTTATCGTCGGCCGGTGCGGTTCTTAATTATAGTTTCCACCCCCGTGAAAAATGTTGATCTTCAGCATCTTTAAGAGAGTTATCAGCTAAATCCTCTCGATATTCTCTCGAGAGTGTTAAGTTATTCAACACTTGTAGAAAGTACTTAATGTGAACATGAAGATTCTTAATTAATGCTACTTTAAAGTACAGTACATCTTTACCTCCGTGTAATCTTAATTGAACATTTTTATCCCGTTAAAAGCGTAATTTATAAAATTTATCCTAAAACATATTTAATTCTTTAATTGATTTTATTAAATAAATATCTTTAAACTATTTAATTATTTTCGTTTATAAAATTTATTAAATATTAATTAATTATTTTGTCAAGAGACTCTCCAGGAAACGATCGATTATTTTGAATTTTTAAGGATTTTTAACGCTGGATACTGGCGACCTTTAACTTAAAGTTGAGAAAATTTCATCGTCTAATAAGAGGTACAAGCAAATCACATCTGGAGATTTCGACAGGAGAGGAACCAACCTTGTAAACTTAACTGAAGAGACAAGACTTCTTTTATATCTTAATTATCTTATCCCTCGGAGCATTGCTTGTTGATGAGCTGCTGGAAGCATTTTACTTTAAAGAGCATCAACGATACAATGGAGCAGGCACATTTACAGTGACGTCATAAAGGAGACTATCAAAAGATCGTTTACCTAAGTCGTAGTTTCATTAACGACTACTTTATTCAGACCACAAATGACATCAAATGAATGAATCATCTTCATTAAAACAAATCATAGTTTACTTTATTGGTTTAGGACGTCGTCACATTTTACACACCCCCCCAAAAAACTTAAATTTATCACCCAAATTTTGAATTTAAATTACAATCTAGTCTATTGTTTACGCCGTAACATAGAAAATTCTGCATAGAAAATATACCATGAATTATTTTAATTCTAAAAAATAAACTTCTAAACTTTTTCACCGTGACTTTTTACGAGTAAAACCTTCTTTATAATGCATGCATCAAGACCCAAAACCGCGGAGAATTCAACATTTCTAAGTATAGCAATACACAAAACTCCTGGAGAATCAACTGACAAACCTCTTACCATACCACGACTTTTACTAGTAGAGCCTTCTTTATAATTCAAACAAACACGAGAAAAAAAAAAACGAGTATTGTATAAAATTCCCTTTACTATAAATCATTTTAAGCAAACAAGAGTTTAATCGACTAAAAAAAATAATAAAATGGCAAGTTTCAAATCGCGAGAAACTAACCCTTAACTGAATACTTCCATTTCCTTTTTTTTTTAGTTTGACTTATCGCGTGTTTAAGTAAAGGGAAGATTCGAAAGAAATGTTAAATATTTTTTAATAATACAAAAAGAAAATGGGGATTTTTTTTATAAATTGTTTATCCTCGTCTAAAAATTCGAAGGGAGTTTGCTAGAAAAGAAAATTCGAAGGAGAGAAGTGACTTTTCTTCCATAAACAATCGATTCTTCAGTACAAGAATTTGTCCAGGAGATATTATTATTTCAAAAACTTGTTCCTGATAATATTTTTTTGATAGAGTAAACATAAATTTCGCGTGGTAAAGTAAGGGTTACGGGCAAGAAGAAAAAAAAAAACTTGGATAAATTCCTTGCGCATAAGATACTAACAATGCCGTAAGCGCATACGATATGCAGACAATTCGATCGAACTCTAACTTTCCCACAATACTTGTTAACTCTGCAGTTACACTCCTGACCCCGACACCAGACTTCCCTCTCCAAGGTTACATACAACCTTTCTACCAACCTTTGACCTTCGTTCCGTACTCTTACCTTTAAGTTACGCGCGCGTAACGTGTTCTACGACGCGTAATTTCACATACATTTACAGTCTCTTAAGATAAACAAAGTATTTTTTTTTTTTTTGGCAATTTAAAACGTTATAAACGGGTTTTCTGCTATACTACGACAATGGTAAGGTCCTTTCTTTTTGATTTTTAAAACGGGTTAAACGGTAAAGGGAGAGTTCTCGCACGTTACTACGATTAGAAAACGGTGTTTTAAACAAGTTTACAGGGTTGTAAAGTGGATTTTTATAGCCCCCGGCTGTTGTTAGACACTTGTATTTAATTTCAACACGGGTTAAGTGATAGAGAAACGAGAAAACGGGAAAAATCCCTAGGAATTTATCTCTAAAAACTGATTTTTAATTAATCAACACTTTACAAGTTATATAAACCCGGCTTTTCTCAGCTTACGAGCAGAAGTTGAGGACCACGTCCCCGTTTGGAACGATTAGAGGAAGGAGGAAAATAGGGGGTTAATTTCTCACCTCGGATAGAAAGGTTGCCGAGAAGTACCATTTAGACTCCGGTAAGTAGTTATCTGGCACAGATTCACTCACACACACACACACAAATCCATCCATGTTGGATTAATCCATCGCTGCTGTTCAGGCGGTCCACGCTGGCCCTTTTTTGGCAGCGTCCCGACACCACACATAGTTCCAATACACGTCTAGACCCCAGCTAGCGACTAGCCACAGCCACGAGTGGCGGTCGTGAGTGGCTGCGTGGTTGCTCCACCGTGACGTGATGCCAACAGCGCCACCCGTGGTGGTCGCCGGAGTTTTTGGTTTTCTTTTTTCCTTTTTGCGGTGGACGGATATGTATTTGGATGATTCTAATTAAGGCTCCTTGCCCCACTCGATAAATATATTTAGCGCGCGCTAAAAAAACCCCTCCCCTCTTCCCCTCCCCCTCTTTCCTCATTTGTCAACGTCTCATTAACGGCGATTCTTGCGCATTCATTAGTTTCTGACTAATTATAGCTTTTGCAGTTGTTTATGATCGTGTATCTGAAAGAGCGAGAACATTTAAATACAAGAAATGTTAGATAAGAGCATCGGATCCGAACCACTGACTCCATGTTTATAATTGCCATTCCAACGGAATTAGTTTCTTTTTCCTCCTCCTCCTCTTCCTCCTCCTCCTCCTTCTTCACCTTTCTAAAAAATACTTTTTTTTTCCTTTTTACAAGTAATTATCTCTTCCTTTCACTCGATTTTTAACTTTTAAAAATTGGTTTAAAATGTAAAAAAATATATCTAATTTGTTATTATTCGATTTTGTATAATAAAATGTATATATGTGTGTGTTTTTAATGATTATATGTATATATCAATTCGCGCTCTCATCGTGAATTTGAGGGATTTTTGGGGTATTTATTTCAGAAAATTTTCAGGAAATTTCTGGGAAATTTTTTAAAGATTTTTTTGATAAAATTTTCGGGAAATTTCTGAGGATTTCTTGATAAAGTTTTTGAGAAATTTGTGGGAAATTTTTTAAGGATTTTTAAATAAAATTTTTGGGAAATTTCTGAGGAAATTTTTAAGAATTTTTTGAGGATTTTTTTACAAAAATTTTGGTTAATTTCTGTAGAATTTTTAAGACTTAATTTTTTAAAAATTATTTTTGAGGATTTAAAAAACATTTATATATATATATATATAATGTAAAAGATACAATTAAACCTGCGAACAACAGTCACTGAAGAGAACGTAAAAAATAGCCGTTGTTCGAAGGTGGCCGTCTTTTGGAGGTTCTACTGTATTTTAATACATTTAAAATCGTCAAATATTCTAAAATATAATTTTGTTATTGAATTATTTTGTTAAAATAAATAAAAATAATTGATTTTTTTATCATTAAAATACTAAAATCAAATTTAAAAATGAATAGATTTTATATAAAAAAATTAATTTCTTTGGGGAAACAAATATATTTATTAATTTTTTAAACGATTACATTTGAAATTTATTTTATATATTTTTATAAACAAGAATTTGTAGAAAAGAAAATTTTTTCGATCTTAAATGACGTCACGATTTTGTCGAAAATATCGATTATTTATTTTTTTTAGAAGAATATTTACTGTTTCTCAAAGCGTGACTTGATATATATAAAAATTATGATAACTATTTGTATAGAAGGATAGAAAACTCAAAGATTTATCTACCAAAACTCATTTATAACGCGTGTAGGCGCGACTCGAGAGTCTTGGCCTTAAGCTATAACATATAAAGGGCCCTTATCCCCACCAAGGAATGATAAATGTGAGGCCCCAAGCTATAGGCACGTAACACGAGGCCCCAAGCTGCAGTTTTTTTTAGCCCAGTTACAGATAAGGCCCCGCCTGTAACGGCTACAATCCCCCTTCTAGGGTGGAAAATAAGTGAAGGTGAACGCTTCTAAACCTTCATTTTATCAAAAGAGTGAAGATATAAGTTAAATAGGCATAATAAAAAGTTATACAAGTCATTATTGCGCCCGTATGAATAAAAATACTTATTTTTTCCTCCCCTATTCCATTACTTTTAACAGCAGTATCTGTCACTGAAGAATTCATAAGTTTTATCTAACACTTTACTTATTTTCCTTTATCTTCCACTTATAATAACTCTCCTGTATCTATTATCCGGATGATTCTCGATACGTAACAGAGAATTTGAATCGTTAAATCAATAATATAATGTATTAATTCAACGTTTGACAAGTGCCAAACGTTTGTGGAGAGGTGGAACGAGTTGGCTTCAAAGTGGGATGTTGCACAGAGGAGAGGAGTGATACATTCTTTTTTTTTATATATTTGTTTTCTTTAGAAAAGTCTATATCTGATCCCATTGTGATATCTACAATATAAAGCGTGTAGACATAGATACAGACAGCAGTCCAGATGGGTCCTTTGCTTCTGTCGATATTGATGCGCAATATAATCGATTGAGATATAGAAAATGTAGATTGGTCTTGTTCTTTCGGGTCGGGCCACTAGAGAAATGTCCCTTTCGCTTACTGAATGTCAATAAGAAGTAGAAAAAAAACAGTAAAAAAATAGTTTTTTGAGCGAATATCAAAGATATACTTTTACTTTATTTTTTTCCTTGATCCAATTCTACAAATGGTCCTTTGTCACTTGCAGACCACCGCTTTCAATCTTAAGAAATTCTTGTTTTAAAAATTGATCCGGGTTCTGCCTTTTGTTTATAATTTTGGCTATTTTTTATTGACTTTCCTTTGGATCATCCGCTGAAGAAGGTAACTTATCTTCTTCTCCTTAATAATCCTTCTTACTCGACAAAATAATTGCTCGGCCTGGTTTGATAAATGTATTCTATGATATATTCTATATCTATATATATATATACTCCTTTCCTTTCTGGATATTTATGTACTGTACTATACCAGTACAAACCCATTATTTTGTCTAACTTTTTGATTCAAAAAATCTCCCCTTCTGTCTGCATATTCAACCGTATGTTACATATAAGAAAAATGATGCAGCATCCCTAATTTTTTTTTTTTTGTTTTGATGTACAAAAATTTAATTTATTGATCCATTCCGCTAAACATTTTTATTATTTTGTTCGACTTAATTGATTCGTGTTATTTCCAGCTATAATTAATCACATGATCAATCGATCGTTATCGATTAATCGTGTGTTCTTGTAAGAGATTCATTTGATCCAAAATTAAACAAAAGGATTTTACAAATCGATTTTTACGAGTTTTAAAAGTAATTTTCTTGTTTTTATTTATTTATTTAGTTTAAAAATACTTTAAGAATTTACATGAAAACATTCGAATTTAATGGAGTTAAGTAGATTGTCATCAGAATTTAAAGTCTAGACTACAGATTAACGATGGTGTGATCTATATTTGAGTGATTTTTGGAGTGCATCCTCGATATTTTATCCATTTATGGGATTATTTATATTTATGTTTACGTTCCTGATAGATAAATAAGATTATAATCTAGTACAGAACACATAATCTCGCTTATTCTACTGTTTTTTTTTACACGTTTGATTTAACTAAGTTGTATATTTTTAACCAAGAAAAAAGCATTAATTACTCCTATTCTAAGTACTTTATAGGGGAATTAAAATTACAGTTTTTATATAATAAAACCTGCATAAAATGGACATTGCACAGAACGGGAACCTGTCTAAATGGAGAATAAATTTCCGAACGAAACGATTTAAAGAAGAAAACCTGTCTAGCACGGAATTTACGGCAGAAATTGAATAACACAACCTGAGTAAAGAGGAATTTTTCACTGTAACAACAGCAAAATTCCAAATCGAAGCACATTTCAAGGGTTTTTATACGAAATTTTTTTCCTTATTAACGTCAGACATATTGAAAGGAGTAATTCTTCATGTTTTTGAAGCATTATAACACTTACATTAAACAGTTGTAAAAGGTTTTTCAACGCGTTAATAAAGGCACAACCTGTATAAAACGGAAACCTGAGAAAGCGAAAAATTCTAGTAGCATTCAGTTTTAGACAGGTTTTACTGTATAATGTATTTTTTAGACATTATTTTTTTATTTAAAAAATAAGAGAAAACATGGCATGAATTATGAGCTTTAACAAATGATACCTGTTATGAATATTTGCTATCCACTCGTAGTGTTTGGAGAAAACTCATTTCGTTTCGAATACAAAAAAAAGATATTCAGAAAAGTTATTTAATAACTAAATTCCTTTTATTCTTCTAAATATTCTGTAGTGTTGGTTAGTCTAGAAACAAATCTTGAGAGTTAAAAGAGTTAAATGAAACTCGTTCTATGAGTATAAGAGACCAACATCTGCAAGTTAATCCACCCAAAATCTCGATTTATCTACTCGAATATACACAAGAAATATATTTAATTATTTATATTTAATAATTATTCATAAAATATAATATTGTATAAAGTTATAACTCATTATATTCGAGTTTTATCCTTACAGGAACGTGTTTAGAGTTAAATTAACACGTTTTTTTTCTGGATTTTTATTGCGATAATGATTAAATTTTAGTAATTATTTCTGTCTTTATACATAATTTAATCGTATTTTTAAAGATTAGTAAGGAAAGTGTAGCAAAATCTGCGAACAGTAATCAAAAAATGCTTTTTGTAACAGAGACTTCTATAGATTGCAGGCTTATCTTCCCGGATTATATGGCTTAAGAGTATCTGGTCTTTGAAGAAATGTATATTTCTACTATTTTTATATATCAAAGTATCTATATATTAAAGAAAAAAATTTAGGTTCTATTGTAGATTTCGAGAGAAGTCACTTCAATGTTAACTACAATAGAGATTGATAAAAATGCGAGGTTTTTTTTATCTTTATATTAAAATTTGGCAGCGAATTTATGAGTCCTAAAACATTAAAAATAAGGAAGAGAGTCGTGTTTTATCTGATTTTCGTTCGGAGAAAATGATGCGGAAGTCTCAAATGTGTAAAAAAAATGGAAGAAGTCGACTAAGTTGAACTAATATGTATGACTTTAAACTGATTTATAACGCTTAAGAACTATTTTAATAAGATATTTAAAAATATAGGGGAAAAAAGTAAACTGCATCCCTCCGATCATAAATCTTATTTGGGATTTAAATATTCCACTTCTTATCAATAAAATCACTTAAATAAAACAATATTTACATAAAATTCCCATAGATTTCTACTGTTT